CGGTGGAGCCCAGCCAGACGCAGCCTTAAGCATGCAGGCGTTGGAGGTCATAGCAGGCAACGTGCTCAAGTCTATGCCAAACCTGGCGTTCCGTGTGAATCTGGTGAGGGCCTCTCTCAACGTGGACACTCAGCCAGATCATACCAAGGTCACGGAGTACTTTGAGCATTTGCTGGCAGAGTTAGAGGGCGTTTCTCGTGTGTCGGAGGCTGCTGCGAGCCCGACCAGCACAACGAAGCCCGAGGCAACAAAGGTGCGTCAGGTTGCGCAACCCTCTCCTCAGGACTCTGCTCCCTCGGCCAGCAAGGAAGGAAAGGGTGGAAAGGGCACTCATCAAGGAACCGGAGGTGAGTCTCCGAAGAAGTTGTGCAAATGGTTTCACGAAGGGAAGGGCTGCCGCCGCGGAAAGGAGTGCAGGTTCTTGCACGACTGGAGCCAGATCCCTAAGGGTGATCGTGCGGACCGCTGCATTGCATGCGGCGGCCAGGGCCACAGAAAGGACGGATGCCCAAATGCACCGGGGCAGGCAAAGCGTGACGATGGCACCAGCACTAACAAGCCTAGTCGAGGGGACCCCAGCCCAAAGAGCAAGGCTGACCCAGGACTGCGAAAGGTACTGAATGAGGCAGCAGGTGTGCTTCGTGAGGCATTGTCGGCAGGTTCAGTTCCACCTCAGGCGTCGCAGACTACAGGTGCAACAGGTGCGTCAGGAATGGAGCATCAGGCCGAAGCCCACGTTGAAGGTTCAACCGCTGGGCCGGTGATGGCTACTGCGGCAAAAATCCAGGCTCAGCTCGAAGACTTGGAGGCACGAGTGCTCGATGGTCGCCCTCGTGTACGGGCTGTCAAGAGCATGGATTCCGACGAAGATGAAGAGGCCACGGCGCTTCTTGATTCAGGGGCAACGCATGCGGTGCTGGACTCAAAGTTGACAGCTACAGAGCGTTTGGTGCCATGGACCGTATCGCTGGCCGGGGACCAGCGACAGGTCTGGCAGCAGACTCCTGGTGGCTCCCTGGTCGCCCCTGCAACCGAGGAAGGCAGCACAACCCAGACCATCCTTCCTCTAGGGTCCCTGGTAGAGCAGTTGGGTTGTCACCTAAAGTGGTCGAAGAAGTCAGGTCTTTTGCTAGTCCACCCTAAGCTCGGGAAGATGAGGACCAGTCTTAAAGGAGGATGCCCTCAGTTGTGCCGAAGTCAAGCAATGATGCTAGTGAGGGAGTTGGAGGCCGCGAAGCTTGGTGAGCTAGAGGGGCGACTTCAGCGAGTCCAGGCGCAGCTGAAGGTGTCAGAAGGCCTGAGGTTTGAAGATGCACTGGATGAGTTTATCAGCACAGGAAGCTTCAACTCAGCCTTAGCCTTTGCGCAGGTGTTGCCCTTTCTGAGTCAGGTGCCACTGAAGGTGATAAGTAGGTTGGTTACCTCACTTGAGGGTGTGAATGGGTGGGAGGTACTCAAAGGTTTGCCTCTCAATCGCCGCACAAGAAAGAGGTTGTACCAATCCCGGTGCTGGCTTCTCAACCAAGCTCCTGGTCCAGTTGACCCTCTCTTGCGCCAGATGTGCGAGCAGCGAGGTGTTGAGTTGGTGAATGTGGCTGATTTCAAGGTCAGCAGTTCTGACCCTTCTGTGTGGAGGGCCTTGTCATGGGCATGTTATTCAGGACGTGTTTCGGCCATCGTGGCTGGAGCCTCAATGAGGACCTGGAATGAAGTGCAGGTGTCCAGTGACCGGCGTTTGAAGTTCAGGAGTGCTGAGTATCCGTGGGGCTGTCCTGACAACCCGAAGCTCATGCAGGAGAAAGTCAATGCCGATACACTTGCAGGACTTCAGCCCTTGTGGTTGTGGACTTTAGCGACGATAGCTAAGGGTGAGGGGATTCCCATTTGCCAGTCTCAAGCCGTAGCTGTGCAGAATGCAAGCCACCCGTGGATGTCGCTGGTCGTCCGCCCCTTTGCAGAATGGAGTAACTGCAGTCAATTTGAGATGCCTTGCTCCCCAGAGGGTCAGTTATCCTCCGGGTCGACGGTAGTGTGTACCAATTTGGGTTTTCCTAGACAGGTGCAAGATGCAGTGGCATCTCAAGACGCATCGCTTTCATGGACCCAATTTATGAGAGAACGCACACTTGCCCTGTTTGGTGAAGGTTGCTCGGAGAACAAGGAAGTTTCGCATGCGGAGCCTCAGGTAGAGGCAGTGGCAGTGGAAGGGATAGAACTGCAATCCTCAGGAACAGGTGCCTTGCCAGATGAGTCCTGTGAGCCCCGTCCCCCTCAAGGGGAAGCCGAACTGCCTAGCAACCCTGTGTTTCAGGGCCAACCGATGAGCGACAAAGATCGAGAACGATGGCGCAGGCATATAGAGGCGCACCACTTACCATTTCGCAAGGACTGCCTGCAGTGTGTTATGAGTGGAGCCTTAGGACTGCAGCACCGCCGCGTCAAATGCGGCAACATGTACGCCCTCAGCTACGACTTGACGGGACCCTTTCAAGAAAAAGGGGTGGACGAGAATGGAGGGGGCTACAGGTACGCCTTAGTCGCAGGCCTTAGGGTTCCAGAGATTGCACTGCCTCTACCGCCTTCAAAGGAAAGGAAAAAGGCCAAAGGCAAAGGTGAGGAAGGTCTAGGCTCCGACAAAGGCAAGCACCAGGAGGTTCATGCCCCACCGCTGAATGACATAGACCGGGAGCATATTGACTGGTCAGGTGCAGAGGATGAAGCGCCATCTCATGAAGGAGAGGTACCAGTGTTTTCGGCAATGGTCAGAGCAGCAGAGGGTTTAGATGGTGCCGACTTAGGTTCGGAAGCTAGTTGGTTGCGTGATGGTTTGGAGTTGCCCGAGCCCTCAGACGATGAGTTGAAGCATGATGTGCCACCTCAGGAGGAGCAGCCAGAGGAAGGTCCGCCTAAGAATGCCGCTGCGGGGTCAGGAATTGAAGAGGACCCATGGGAGGACAAGCATGGTGTTGCTGCAATGTCTGATGCGGAGTAGTTTGATGAACTCGTGTCCCAGACAGCCTTCTCAGGTGCCAACAAGGTCTTAAGGTTTGTGGTTCCCATAAAAAGCCGTCATGGGACCCATATCCTAGCAGGACTTCAAGAGGTGGTTACCGAGTGCAACCGTATAGGCTACCCTGTGAAAGTGGTTCACACGGACCGGGCGAAAGAGCTGATGTCGAAGGCAATCATGGATTGGTTGCAATCCAAGCTCATCCAGCCTTCTTTCACCCAAGGGGATGACCCTAAGTCTAATGGCTTGGCAGAGCGGTTGGTTGGATGGGTTAAGGCCAGAGCTAGGCTGCACCTTGCATCGTCCGGGATGGGCGTGGAGAAATGGCCCTCGGCCATGGAGTTTGCTTGTGCCGAACACCGTCACCGAACGTTGTGTAATGAAGGCGCTGTTCCAAGGTTTGGCCAGAAGGTTGTGTTTAAGAGCAAACACCCAACAGGCAAGAGCAAAAGGCCCTTTATCCGGTGGGAGCATGGTGTGTACTTGCATCCCACGACAAGAACAGAGGGAGGCCATCTGCTGTTGCGGGCTGCATCAAGCGCTTTCTTGGTAGCCAAGAACATTCGTGCCACCGAGGAGTTGTTCGACCCAGAATCAGCGTTGGGAGCTGATGTGTTGGAAGTGGAGCTGGAAGACCAAGACCCCAGCAAGGATACTTCAAAGGTCCCGGAAAGGAGGGTCACAGGGAAAAGGACGGTTAAGGCGCTGCAGCTGGCATCAGAGACTCTAGCAGCAGAACTACTGAGAAACGAGGCATTCTCGGCCGATGACTGCAGTAGGCTGTTGAGCTTGGCCTTTGAAGGGGCTACCGGTGGTACAAAGCGTGAGCACAGAGGTCCCATAGAGTTTTCCACGGTGTTGGGTTCCTACTGTCATGGTGGGATTAAAGGGATCACCCGTGCAAGCCGTGTTCACCCAACCCTGTGTAAGTACCTGAACCACTACCTCCGTGCCAACAACCGCCATTCCCATCCGGGAAATTGGACCTCTCTTTTGGTCATGGTGGCTGACCGCATTGCGCCACACGTGGATGTTCGCAACGAACCAGGAACCACCAACTGCGTGTCTCATGTGACATCTAGGAGACTGTGGGTTTCCTCTGCCGGAGGAGATCCTGCCTTGCATGCCACTGGGGTAAAGGGTGAGTCACTTCAAGAAGGGAAGGACGGTCAAGAAGAGATTGGGCAGTCGGTTCCAGTGGGTCAAGGTGCTGTATGCTTCAATCCAAAGTGTCGTCATGCCCTTGGAGCTGCAACAAATTGGGTAATAGCCGGGTATAGTCCTTTGGGTTCCTACGGCCTGCCCAGCTCAGATCTTGACTCCCTAAGGACCTTGGGGTTTAGGCCGTCAGATCCAGAGATGTTGCCAAAGGTATGTAAGCTTGTGGGACCCAATCCCCAGAAAATGCCAGTTCCACAAGCAGCTCAGCGTGCAGCTCCCCGTCCGGGTAGAGCAGGGGTGAACGTGAGGTTCGCAACAATGTCGGCCCGGGAGTGGGAGGAAATGTGCCAGCTCGATGAAGAGCAGTTCGAGGAAAGGTTTGCTAGGTCGCAGCGAGTTCTGGGAGGGGCAGATGAGGACCCAGGGCTTAACCCGTTCTCCGCCCGGATCCCACAGGGCCTGCTAGTAGCAACCATCTTTGAGCAACGGGATTGGGAAAGGGATCCCATCTTAGCTGTGCGCCGTGATGATGGAACGACTATCACCCTAGCTAGAGTGTATCAGTTCTCGGACGACAGCTACATGGGTGATTCCCCGTTTCCAGACCGCATGCTGATGTACTCCAGCCATGACTACACCAGGGATGTGTTTGAGATGGTTATCCTCCGAGTAGAGATGATAGAGGTTCCACCAGACCCACCGGAGCAACCGCAGTTAGCTATCCCTGGCCCTCCTCCTCCAGAGACGGGCCTCACAGGGTGTTGGGCCTTCCAGTGACAAGTGCAAGCTTCCTGTCCCACTGCCCAATCCTACACACATCAAGCATCCCATGTCTGAGCTCAGGAGGAGTGTGCAGGAGGCAGAGGTACCCAGCATCAACAAAGCAGAAGCTGCTACGACAAAGGAGCTGGAAGCAGTGTTGGAAGCTCTTGTCGAACCCCTTAATGTGACGCACACAGCATCACAGGAGGAGGTGCGGTTGAACCTGGACAAGTGGAAGGAGTCAATCCAGAAAGAACTCTCGTCACTCTTGGGTCCAGGAGTTCTTGTGAGCCACAAAGGGCAAGAAGCAAGGGATCGACTGAGCGATCCATCCACAACGGTCATCCCGTTGAAGGGTGTCTTTACAGCAAAGCCCCCCTCGAGTCCAGCAGAGGGCCTCTACCGCAGGAAATGCCGACTTGTCGGCTGTGGGAATCAGGCGACCCACGTCGACGCTGACTCCCTTTACGCAGCCGGTGCTCCGGCAGAAGTGGTCAGAACGGTGCTGACCCAGGGATGCCGTCATCAGTGGTCGGCATTCACAACCGACATTAAGTCGGCGTTCACTCAGACGCCGATCCCACCACATGCAGCACGGCGCTACCTTCTCCGCCCACCACGTTGGATGGTGGAACTGGGATTGGCGGAGCCCGGCGAATACTACTCACTGGGAAAGGTCCTGTATGGATTCAAGGAAGCCCCGGCGTGGTGGAGCGAACACAGGGACGCAAAGCTTCTTACGGCACGGTTCCTGGGTTGCCACCTGGAGCAGGGACAGTCGGATACGTCCATTTGGAGGATCATGCGCGGTCAGCAGTTGGCTGGCTATCTTGTCACTTATGTGGACGACTTCTTGATTGTGAGCGACAGAGCTACTGCCAATGGCTTGCACCAGTGGCTGCTCGATGGAGCAGGTTGGCAAACGGATGGCCTTAGTGAGGCCAAGCCTGGATCACCAATAAGGTTCCTGGGAATGCAGCTTTGTGGGTATGAGGATGGACACTTCAGTCTAGACCAAGAGGCTTATGTAGATGAGCTTGTGAGGTCGTATGCGCTGCCCGAGACTTCGAGGTCAAAGGTCGTTTGCCCCAAGGAGCTGTTGTTCAACGAGGGCGGTTCAGAGGACAAAGAACAGGACGAAAAAGTCGTTCGTGCGGCGCAGAAAATCGCCGGTGAGTGCTTATGGCTCTCGCAGCGCACGAGAGCTGACATCGCCTATACAACTGGAGTCCTATGCTCTATGGTGTCCAAGGATCCACATGGTGCGTTGGCAGTAGGGCGCAGGGTGCTTTCGTACCTAGCTCACACAAAGGGATACAAGTTGCACTTGATACCTGATCCAGAAGCCCCACCAGTGCGAGTCTTTACAGACGCTTCTTTCTCCCCGCAGGGAGAGCACTCCTATGGAGGACACATCGTAGAGGTTTATGGGGTGCCGGTGCTCTGGAGAGCATCAAAACAAGCCCTGATCTCTCTCAGCTCAGCCGAGTCTGAGCTGATTCAGGCGGTGGAGGGAGCAACCTACGCAGAGGCCTTGATGACGGTGTTGTGTGACCTCCGCATCCCGTGCTCCGGTGCCGAGCTCAATTTGGACAATACCGCTTCCATTTCCTTCATCGAAGGGTCTGGGAATCAGAGGACAAGGCACTTGAAGGTGAGAGGGCACAAGATTAGGCAGTTGATAGCTTCAGGGTGGACTGTTAGGCACTGTCGGGGTGAGTTCCAACGTGCTGACCTACTCACGAAGCCACTGCCTTCACAGCGTGTGAAGTTCTTGTGCGGACTGCTGCGGCTCATACCCGACGAGCCCAGGACGAGATAGGGACGAATGCGGAGGAACCTGCCACCACAGGGGTGCCAACGGTGAGAAGAGTCACGGCGCAGACATCTCCATGCCTGACCGGCCTACTACTACTGCTCCAGTCCTGTGCGTGCCTTGGGGGCACGGAGGAGGATGATCAAGGGCCCGGGGTCGCGATCGAGTGGCCATGGGAGCTGGCGGTAGTCACGATCATGATCGTGTTATCCACCTTGTTCGTGTGGGAAGCTTCCGGGGCTCCCTGCAGGAGGCGTGCGCCAACTGATGTGGCGCAAATCCGTGCAGTGAATGGTGATCCTAGGACCAGACGATCGAGGAAGCTACAGGAGAAGGTGAAGGAAGCCATCGATAGTGTGGTTAGCAGCCCAACCGAGGATGAAGGAGGCTGCCGAGATCGCGGAAGGAATAAGTGCCCGATTGGCTCGGCTGGCAGTGCCAGCTCAAGCACAGGCAGTCAAGGACCAACTGTGGTCTATGGAGGAATCAACATGCTCGTGCACGGCGGGAGTTCTCATGACGAACCCTTGCCAACCGGTTTCCGCAACTCCCTGCCTTCACAGACCTATCCAGGGTCGTCCAGACAACCCGACCCGACAGTCGAGCTACCGAGTGCTCCTGTCACACAGCAGATACCCTCTCAGCCTACCGGACTTGATGGACAGTTCAGGGTTCAGAGTACGTCCACCAGAGCTCCTAGCGGTAGGGTAGCAACCAAGAGTTCCCAGGCAGTACAGACAGACCCAGTTGTGATTCTGAGTCCGAATGACAGGGTGTACATGTCTGAGGGAGGTGATTGCGTTCATGTGTGTGAGGGTTGTAGGGGTCTCAGGCAGGCTGGACATGTGAAGCACAAGAAGGTTTGTCAGTACTGCGTCAGGTCTCGGAACCGGTAAGTTTTTGAGTGGCTAGTGACTAGCGTCGTAGCCAAGGAGGAGTGTAGAATACCAGGTATACATGTACAGCTGGTTGCACTCCTTTGATACCTGCTGAGGCGCATTGTTCAAGCACCGAACTTTGGAGGGCCTCACACCTTGAGTCTAATGTGTCAAGAGACATGCACAGTTGCCGGAACAGGTTAAGATGGCCTGACTTTGGTTGTTTGTGTGCAAAAGAGAGTTACGCATTCCGTGTGCCCCAATGGTCTGCTGAAGCTACGGAGTTCCATTTCAGGAGATTTCGTGTGAGACTTCAGTTAGGACGGATGGGAAGCACAGACGACATGAACCCGAACTTGGGAGATCTTCCTACTGAGGAGGCTGTAGCTCAGGCTGGCAACAGGGAGGAGGTTTCTCAAGATCAGCACTAATGATTAAGGTCCCTATATTGGTTGAAGCAGGGTCTACGACGAGGGGTTGCTTCAAGGCTTCGGGGTTCCTGCAAAGGAAATTTTGCATTTTTTTTAAATTTGGGTCCTTGAAGGGCTTTTGCAACTGACTGCATTCTTCAATTTGAGATTCGAGTTTACTCAAGATTTTTCAGTTCAGGGTTTCGAGTTTAGATTTTGGTGCCTGGCCGCTAATCTTACGGTTCAGGGTTCAGGGTTGGGATGAGGCTTTACATGAAGCAGTCGTTACAGAGGTTACCCTTAAGGGCTCTGAGAAGGAAAGCTTCCCACAGGGCGTTTTGTCGGGTTCCACAATATCGGTGCTAGGTTTCATAGCACCGAGCTCAGCAGTGGACCTTGACCTCCGAAGCAGAGCGAGTTGCTGTGTTGCTTCAGCCATGTTCGGGCGTCCTGTGTTCAAAACGGCGGAGGAGATTCGATCCGAAAAGCTCAAGCTTGAGCGGTGGCTCCGTGAACAGTACCAAGCATATCAGAAACATGTTGAAGAACTTGACAGGGAAAAAGCGAGATGGAGAGCTGACAGACCGAACGACATCGTCTCTGGTGAGTCAGATCCCGACGAGCCGCTGCCGGGGCTGTGGCCGGCTTGGGACTATGAAGCCGACGGCCATGAAGCCGACGGCGAGTAATTATCAGATCTACAAATCCGGGTCGGATGCCGACGAATGTCTCTCTAGAAGGGTTCCATAATAAAAGTTTTTTGGGTTGAGGTGTGTTCGGGTTTGCTGCACAGGCTGTTGGGGGAGGTTTGGGGTGTAATCTAAGGTTTAAGGGTTCAGGATCGTATGGACCAGGACTTTGTATGCATTGTAAGGCTCAGGGTTCAAGTCGTTTTTTGGGTTTAGTTGAGGGTTGCTGCAAGAGTTTCCTTGTTTTGCACGGGCATAACGTACAGTGCGATGGACAACCCAACAGAACAAAAGCTTGCACCATCTGGTGGCTTGGGATTGTAAGCAGCACTTTTGGAGGGGTTGATAGCGTTGGTGGGTCCCCTCCCAGAAAATGGGCCTATAGTGCAAAAGAGACTGGAAAACATCAGTCCAGGCCTTACTCATTACTCATAATTGGGAATAGAACCCTTGTAACTAATCTCTGCTTAGGCACAGCCAATCATAAGACATGGACCTCCCGGTACTGCCTGAACGACTTCCAACCCATGAAGTCCCAAGCCCTATAAACTCAAAGCCCTAAATTGCTCAAAATCCTGACAGCTTCTGATAGATTAGAACTTGAAAAGCCCTACAGAACCATGTAGAACCCGCTGAACCCCTGCAGAACCCAAAACAAACCCATAAACCCCTCGCAAAGCCCTGCAAAGCTCGACCAAACCCTATTGAACTCCTGAAACCCTAAAAACCCGTAGCTCCCATGAAGATCCAAGGAGAAGCAGCCTCGAAATCACCCTGAAATGAATCCCTTAAAGAGATCCTTAAAGAAATCCCTAAAGAATCCAGAAATCCCGTAAAGAGCCCCTTAAAGAAATCCCAAAAGAAATCCCTTAAAGAAATGCTTATGGAACAGTTTAAAGATCCTCAAGCAGGGGGCCATCGTCGATGCGAGGCAGTTTCAGGCTTCGGCGGCGGTGGTGACCCGACCAAAAAAAAGCTAAAACTTCAGTCAGAGCAGGGCTTATAGGTTTGGGGCCTAGGGGTCAAGGGCTCAGGGATCTTGGGGTCTTAGGGTAAAGGTGGGTTTGTAGAGTTCTAGAGTACGGTATGGTGTATGGTTGGCATAATGCCTTCATGCTGAGCAGAGGGTTCCTTTAAGGGGCTCTGTAGCCAAGCTTATTGGAGTTTTGGGGTTGTAGGGGTTGTAATGTGGTTGGATGTTTGGGATGCAGGCTGTCGGGCTGTGAGGGTCCATTGTTTCGGGGTTCTGGTTCTTGTGGTTTTGTATTGAGGCCGAAGGTTCGGTTTCGGTACTGCCATACGTGTTTCACGACGGTTTTCCACTCAGATGGCAGGCATCCGCGTCGCTCTCCCGCACGTTTCTACTATGAACCTAACTTGTGTCAGTTCTCTATGACCTCAATGTCGCAACAGTGTTCAGGTTTTGTGCTTCCTGGAAAACCTAGTTGCCGCTAAAATCCCTGAAAGGTTGATGGTTGCCGGGTTTAGGCGCAACTTTCAGAAAGTTGCTGGTTTTTGTTTTGTTAACTTAATAAGTAAAACCAAAATACCCACTACTATGAGGTTCTGGTTCTGGTAGTAACCGTTAAACCACCCTATTATATACCCTGACTCTTATCAGTTCCCAAGCACCACCACACCTGCAGTCTCATTTCCGTCACCGCATACGAGCATCCCCAGCATCATCACCAGAAATGTGCAGCAGCAGAAGCAGCAGAAGCAGCATCACCAAGAAAACCACCCCACGGCGACGACGACGGGACAAAGACGACAGGAGCGCACTGATGCTAACGATGAGATGATGCTTCGTATGAAATGGCACAAGACAGAACATGAGGCTGGTCGGTAATCTTTACCGTCACCTGACAAGTTAAACCCCATCCTTCTACCTCGGTGCATGCAGCATAAACACACATCCAGACAGAAATGCAGAAATGCCTTTCCAATCGGAGTCGTCGATCGAAGTCCATCGTTCTCTCGTGCGTTTGTTTCGCACAAACTGCCATATCGGAGCATGATGAAAGAATCGCTTTATTGGAGAGCGAAGTCTTATGCATGGTTGTATATAGTCAGTACAGTACAATAGAAGAACCCGTACACTGTACGAATCACCAATGCTCCCGAAGATGAATTAGATATGTTCTGATTGTGTGCATATGGGCTCTTTTAAAAGAGCCTTGCTGTGAAAGGCCTGCTATCTTTCCCACAAAGTCTTCGTCCATTTGGCAACAGGCCATCATGGGTGATAACACCCATTTGCTCGGGGTGCCGAGTTGAAAACGGAGATCATGCAAGAAGTGCGTGTAGGCGTGCCACTTAGGAGACAACTTGAAGCGAAGCTGTCGACGAAGCAAAGCATCATGCGCCGCTTTCAAGTAGAAATCACAAAAACCTTCACCTGCCCGCAAAGCTCCGAGAGCTTCAGCTCGGGTAAGCCACAAACCACCAGCATATAGTCGCCTCAGATACTCGTTCGCACACCGAAGAGCACCACCGATGGCAATCATGTACTTGTTCGATGTTTCGGCATTGATGAAATCATAGACACATTCCAGCCACAACATAATCGTGCTGGTATCGCCACCTTTGAACCACATCCTCAGATCGTAAGAGGCATGCTGATATATCCATGTATGTAATCTAAATGAACATGTGCAGTAGAAAGTACCCCACACACACACATGCAACAAGACTTACATACCTACCTACCTACCGACGTACCTATCTGACTATCTTATACCTACAGCTTCCTATGTGTATATATATATATATGCATATATACACATATTAAGCCCCCAGGACACACATAGATGAGACAATTTTTGCAAACATACATACATACATACATGTGTAAACAAGTCTTGTTAAAACCCTAGATGTTACATAAACAGACTGGTTTACTAAGTCTCGATCGAGGAACCCACAAGGGTACTCTTTTTCGTTCGGGTAGTGCAGCAATGCTCGGGTGAACTTGCTGGTATGAAGGCTGAGAGCATTCTTTTTGCAAAACTCGTGCAACCGATCATACAACCTGTCAAGGCGTTCGTGTGCATTGCCACCACCAGCCAACTTCTCATCCATGAGGGCAACCTATAGGCATCAAAAATCGAAAGAAAATACGAATCTGGATTAATTTATATTTGTACAGAAGATGTTTGCGAAAATGATCCAAGGAGCTATCGCCGAACCAGACAGTTCAGCAAAGACACCTTTGTGACAAACGTGGAAGATGTCATACAACAGGGTCCTTTCTTGAGCAGGGCTTTGATGCAATTGACTCAGTGGTCCATCATCACGGCTGAACGGTGAACTTTGCAAATAGGTCGGGATCCACTTGGCGTGTTCATCATACTCATGATACGGAACCCCCTCAGCACCCGCCATACAAAGATGGCAGATGCCTGGGCGATCATCCCCAAATGCGAGCCTTCCAAAATGGCGACCCAAGTAGCCCATCCTCGTGAGGATGGGCCAGTCCCCCTTCACCCCTATGACGGTTAGGCCAAGTTTGTGGTTTCCGGAAGCCAGCCACACACTGATGCCCTCCTCGAACATCAGATTGAACTCACTGACCAAAACCCTTATGAGGTCGTCGAAGGTCTCTGCAGACTTGCGGTACTTGTTCTTCAACAGGCACGACAGCAAAAACCTTGTTCTGTAACTCGATCCTGCAAAGTTCAGCCCCATTCCATCCTCGTTTGAACGGTGATGCTGGCTTGATAACGTACCAGCCCCCAAGGCCGGCTGGAACGCTACAATCATTATGCTTTGCTTCTTGAGGGTTTGACCCTCATCCGCATACAGCAAGACTGGAATCTGAAAGCGCCTGCAACTTTCTGATTTCTTGTAAATTGGGTGCTCCGGGCACACAGCCTGGTACCTCTGCCAAAATGTTGCAATCTTATCAAAGTCCACCTCCCCACCCATGAGCAGGTGCAGCTTGTCCTGCTCCGTGAATACACGGAGGTAATCGCCCACCTTGAAGTAGGGATGGCCTGGAAGTCCTGGGAGGTCAACCTTGGAAATGGGGATTGGAGCACTGAGCCCTTGCTGTACGTACAATGCCTCCGTCTGGTTCTCATGTCGTGTATTGCTCGCGCGAGACATAGCTTTCAATACAGCCGCACTCGCCAAACTATCATCATCGCTGTCCACTCCTGTGGCTTCCCGGTACTCGGCCCAAAAGCTGTGGGCAATCTCACACACCAGGCGGTTGCAAACCTAGGCCCAACACTGTTGATCTGGCGGTATGGAAAAACACCACACTTGTTTATGTAGTTGTTGTCTTTTCACATAAATGGTTTCCATACATGTCGAGTAGCTCCTCTGGAGCTAGCCTTCGCCAAAGCCAGAGCAACAGGGCCTCGTCCACGTACACCTGCGAAGCGCCCGAGAAGGGTTCGTAGAAAACAACACAGAGCAGGGAGTGGTTTCAATATATGGGAGCGGGAGGTGATGTAAAGAAGCGAGGGGGGGCCGATAGAGAGTGAAAGCCACGAAGGGATCGCACACCAAATGGCAACAGCAAGGTACTGCGACCTAGAGTGTGAGTGACAGAGACACGGAGAGATATTGGAAAGAGTTGACCGAGAGGAACACCACTGACAGTCAGAAGTGTGCACATGTGTGTGTGTGTGTGTGTGTGTGCACGTATGTTTATACAGGTATGAGCATGCATTAATTATACAAACACACATACAGACACACATAGATACAGGCATACATATTCAAATACGCATGTCTAAGCAATGTGTTTGTATGCACACACATGCCTCCATATGTGTATTTACCATTTTTGTACTGGCTATGTGTGAGTTGGTATATGTTGACACATTCATGAATGTAGACAAGTGTAGGACAAGTAAAAAGTAAGCGAAACAAACATACAGGCAAACACACGACTACACATGTGAACAGGTGTTCATATGTTCGTATGTATGTATTTTGTTTATGTACGTATACATGTATGCATATAGATATATACACATGAGTGTACGCATATATATGTAAAAGTATTTTATATATTACAATACATGTCTGTCTGCAAATGCTCTTCACACGTAAGAATCTGTTTATGCTATATGTTCAACTTTTCACACACCACAGACAATATCATGAATCATGCATCGACGTGCATAACACTGCTCAGAACCTGGCACTCTCTCTCTCTCTCTCTCTCTCGCGCTTATCCTCTCTTGTTCTGTTTTCGCTCAGGCCATTACTCCCAAACGAAATGTGCACAGACGCCTCTCACCACTTTTTCTCGGCCCCGTTGCTTGCTTCCTGTTCGAAGGCTCTGCTCTGGAAGCAGTGCGAACAGGTCCGATGAAGGCCCCCATCAAATTACTGGCCTGGAGGTTTTCCCCCAGGGCAAAAGACCCGCACAAACATAAGTTTGTGATTTGCATCGATCGAGCAATGCTGTAACATCACATCACTTGCAACATATGATGAAGCAGCAACCAACTTTGCTTGTATATTCATAGAAGGAGACATCGACTATGGTACTATAGGTTTGAACCAGCATGTACACATAAGATACACCAGTATTCACATGTGCTGACGACGATGCAACTGCTACTTAGTCCTTGTTCTTGGACTTGCTCTTTGCTTTGGCTTTCGCCTTTGCCTTTGACACTGGCTTGATGGGCTTCTTTCGGGGTTTGCTCGGCGGGGCTTCCGACTCATCATCATCGTCTTCCGGCTCATCATCCTCATCATCGCGGGGCCGTTTCTTGCTCGCCTTCAGAACCGTCCTGGCATCTTGCGTACATGCAAAGCACTGAAGCGAGCATGGATTTAGACTCCATGGACACCCAAACATGAACCTGACGACCTAAGCCCTGGACTTTCTGATCTTGTTCTCTGTCATCACAGCTTTAGCACACCTGAGAAACTCACAGCATGATATTGTGTTGAATGCCAGCAGCTGACAACATGCAGCTGAATAATAGGACCCATATTGCATTCATGGCACACCATTTCCACTTCTCGCTGCTTGTCATGCAGCTCTGTCTTCTTCCTCAGGATGCCCGAGCATGAAACTTTTTGCATACTTAATTTATAGTTATACTAGCTCAGCAACATTGAAATACCATCGATGCTTGCTAGACTCTCTTTGGGGAGGTCTTTGTGTGCCTGATAATAACTGTAAATCTCGGCGATGGAATCATGAAGCACGATCATACTTTCCCAGGAAGATCCAACCTCGCCGGCCAGCCTTAGGTTCAACACAGGGTTACATGAGTACCATGGCAGGACAACAAATTCTGTCTAGTGGCTTCTGGGCATCCTTGGCTTTACTCTTATCAAGCTTTTCCTTGAGGGCTTTCAGCTTCTTCACGGTCTTCAGAAGGGTCGCGAGGACTGTGGGGACATTCTCAATGTCCTGCACTATGACTGTAATACATTAATTAACATTAAGACCTACGCACTAAGCTTATGCATATGTACTGTGAGAAAAGAACATGCAAAAAACTAGCAATCCTCCAGGTCGGGTTCTTCCTTCGCTTTTTTGTCTTTCTTATCTTTCTTCTGCTTCGGGCTTTTCTTGTCTGTTGATTTCCGAGCCGACTTCTTCAACTTCTTGTTCTTTCCCTTACGACTCTTTGGGGTATGCTTCGGGCTCTTCTTGGATTTCTTCTTAGCTGGCTTCTTGGCACTCGAACTCTCGCGCTTTCTCTTCGATGTCCGTGGCTGCACACTGCAGCTCGAGATGGACTCGGAACCCGAGTCGCTGGACTCATCGTCCGTCTCCATCACCCTCGGCTCTGCCTTGGATGACTTTGCTGCCTTTCGTGCTTCCTTAGCTGCCTCGTCGCCCGTATACTCACGAGAATTTATCTTCTCGTTGATGCGGGTGAATTTGCCGTTGGTGGACACGTGGGCCCAGTACTCCTTCTTGTCTTTCTCATACATGTCTTTCCTGCATCAAAACAGCACAAAAACCTTTGATGAGTTCTGCTGTTTAACCCTAGAGCCACAAGCCTGATAAGAATGTTCTTCTTGGAGTGGTGCTTCTTGCAATAAGCCACACAAGCTTTGATACGTTTCCTCGGGTACACATATTATATGCATTCATCGAATACGGTGTTTGTTTGATTCAAACATAGCAACACAGGAGCTCCGGCCATTTCAGATCCTTCCTCATGGCCTCAACGGTGTAGAAGCCAGCAATGATGGTGTACTCGCCCTTCTTGGTCTCCCTCTCGATAAACTTCTCGGCCACCTTGACGAACTCCTCCTGTATCCAATCTTAATTTAGGAGAGAACTGCTACAGCCTGATCTATCCACATGTAGGGTGCTGCACTAACATAAAGCCGTCCTTTTTTCCCTGGAGATCCATCATCATCTTGATTAGCAGGTCTCGCTCATGCTTGGTCCCACGCAGGAACCTTCTAGCAAGCTCCTCGGAAACCCTAATCTTCGGCCTCTTGCTTGTCGGATTGCACAAGCGTCGCACTTGAGCAGCATGCTTCAGCCAAACTGGATCAGAACATGACATTGGCTTGGCTTCTTCCTTCTCTCCCGATCCAGCTTCAGAGCCAGAGCTGGACTCATCGGAAGAGCCTTCATCTTCCGACCCCTCAGGCTCCGTCGGAGTGACGTCGCCCTCCTGACCATAGCAGACATTAATAGATGCAACTTGCATATGTAATTGCACGTGTTCATGTTGCATGGAAAACTTGCTCCTTCTCGGGGGTGTCTGTCACCACTTGCCGCTGCAGCATCCGACGGAACAATTCAGCATCATCCATTGGCTCATCTTCCTGACACGTTATATGTGGACATGAGCCCCTGCATGCATGCATACCTGTGTTTATCAGCACATACACAACATCTACCGATCCTCTTCTTCTGGGAGAGGAGATGGATAGTGCATTGGCTCAACCTCAGCGGCCTCCTCAGCGCCATCCTCTTCATGCTCCGGTTCTGGGGTTCTGGTAGCCTCAGCTGAGGCCTCATTGCCCCCAGCGTTCCCCACTGGACTTCCCGCAAAGTCAGGTTGACGATCCTGGCTCCATGGTTCATCATCATGAAACAACCGGCGCCTTGTCGGTTGCTGGGGTGTTGGTTCACGCAATGTGGCCTCAAGGCTGTCCCCGGACTCTAGGCTCAGACTCGCTAGCTGATTGGTCGGTGGGGCCACCATCTCTGGAGCTGGCCCCAGCACTCTATCAGCCAATGTCCCACCGGTGCTCGGAGGAGAGGGTGAGCTTGGTGCCTGATTGACAGACCCAGCAGATCCTGGGGATGTGCTAGCATCCGCGTTGCTGCCCTCTGACCTCGAAGCCTTAAGCTGCTTCAGCTCCTCCAGGCGCCTCCTGGCGGCCTTAGATAACACATACTAGCAGCAATGATCTATAGTACACAACCACACACACACACCAACAAAAACAAAAGAAGCTTCATGTGCTGCAAATGTGCATCCAGTTTGGCATTCAGCTCTAGCTTTTCCTGCTTCACTTTTTGGTGTTGCTCCTTCATGAAGTCCTGGCCTTCAACTAGCGAAGTGCAACTCCAAAGCTTCGAGCGAAGCTGGCCCACCATCCGTACGTCGACCCAGCACCGGACTTGCAAACCCGCTAGATTTGAACAAAAGTTGTGAATTTCGGAGCAAAACCAAAACACGCAACTTTACGCAAAAAGGTGGCAACTGTTACAACAATAAGTGGCAACTGTACGCAAACCGTTTTTTGCAAAAACAGAAGAGAATTGCGCTAAGCACGATCAGAACTGTTCGAAACTATTACTTCACATAGACACCCAAACCCCGTAACGGATCTGTCCGGCCAAACAAAAGCCCGCAACTGCCTGCAAACATCTTTTCCTGCTTCTAGCCCATCAACATCGAATATGATCATATGTGCATGGATCGTCTATAGCACAGCTGCAAGCCTCTCTTTCAAAGGCTCCGGAAGTTTGACCAAGAGGTGCTTGGATCCGTACAGATACTGAATTACTTCTGGTAAGTCAGCATCCAGCCAGAGGTCATCAAAGTTCAATCGCATCATCCAAAGACCGTCTATGTCTCCAGGTGGCACCTACACACAAACAGGCGACACATGCTTCTTGAACAGCCAGACAACCATGAGCTGTTACCCAAGCCTCGACCAGGGAGCCGCAGCGGGGATGAAAGTTGGATTTCCCCAAGTCACCCATCAGCTGCAGGTATTTCATAGCAAAACCCAAAGGATACGACCTAGCAGGCTATGCTCAGCTGGTGATATGGGATATATCACCAAAATAGGCAGCACAAACGGTCCCATATTACATGATGCAAACTAGCAGCCCAGACTTCTTCATGTGCTGATTGCCGGACCACGATCTCTGGTTGTTCCTGCTTTTCAACCGCCTATACAGCTTGATTTGGCTTCTCTCTGATGTCTTCATTTTGTCTCGTGAGAGCCGGCCCCCTTTGAATCGGCGAATATTCGCCGAATTGGAGTACATCACCGTTCTTTTGGCAGATCGGCTACCAAAAGACCACATCCAGAAACTGTGCCGGAAAACCTCGGGACATGGATTTGGACTGCACTATGCCTGCTACTGCTATACATACTCTGCTAGAAACATTGAAACAAGAAACCTTGAACTTCCGAAGAAACTCTCGGAAGCGCCGGTGCTGCGACATGAGAGATGACGATGGTTGCTCAAGGGTCCACGTGCCTCGGAGGGCTGTGATGAGGTAGACCAGTATGATGAACCTGCCAGGCTTGGGTTCTATGGGCGCAGGAGCTTTGAGGGGCTGGGTCGCATGGAGTGGGGTTTCGGGGCCGCTGTCACTACAGCTGCCCTTGGATTGCTACACAAAGATATAGAGAGCTTCAAGTACATGACATAAAACTTGTCATCGGGAGGCCTGCTCACCATCTTGTTCCCGTGTTGCACTGATGGCAAACCATCAATGCCCATCGGACAAAGTAGCCGACGGCCAGTCGAACCCGCACTGGTTCGCACCCAACTCGAGCACTGAAGTCCAAAATGAACCATCGGAGGTGAAGTGCATCGTAGAATTGTCAATAGCAAGAGCCTTGTCTATATATTCATCACTAACAGCAAACCTGCAAATATGGTTCAACAAATCACACCAAGCTTGCCGAAGTGCGCCATGCCCGCTGGGCTCATCATGTCCAGTGGGTTCCGTGTTGAAGACACAGAGCGGGCCGGACGGTTCTCAACATAATTCTGCCAGTATGCAATATCCAAGCTTGCAACTTGAAAGCCTCCGAAAGCCACAACTCGAGAAAGGCGAGCATGACCAGCACAGATTTCGACGAAGTCATAAGCCTGATGGCCCACAAATGTCATCGTACGATTAAACTTAGTTGACCCATGCATGCATGCACTCGGTTGGACACAAGCTGTTTCTGAAACCAGCCTTGTCCCACTCAAGCTTCCAGTTGTTCAGCAGCAAGAACACACACAGAATTGAGACCTCAATTGTCAATGCATTCATGTACATCAGCAGCAGAACCAAGGAAAGCCCAAGAATAACCGCGAAGGTATGATGTCATGCATGTGCAAGCGAGAGACAGCAGGTGCACCGACTCTAACCATCTTTGAAAGCACTCTTTGGCGCTCTGCGTGATCAAACATCATATACTTAATTTCGGCAATCGGAGACGTTCAATTAAGATGAAGGCTGGCTGTGAAGAAACACACCTGAAACTACAACATCGTAGGCTGTGATACGAAAGGCACGCCATCATCCGAAGCAGTTTCTTTTGCAAGAAGCTTGAGCCCTCTAGGTTGGCCGAACCGACACACCACCATGCAGGCAAACAGGCTTTGCAGGCACGGCCACGAGCCAGCGGGGAGGGGGGAAGCACCTCGAGACTTCTCGCACGAGGTTTTTCGTCGAATCGGAGAAGAAGATGTAGACCTGGGCAGTTTGTTTTTGTTTGTGTAGGTGATGTTTCTGAGGCAGGGGCGGGTTGGACTGTTAGGAAGTTTAGAAGCAAATTGCAGAGAATCACGCATGAAGCGGAGCTGCACACATGTGCACACTCACACATTTTTGCTCTTCATCCGAACAGCTTCCGTGGCAATGGGATCATTCCGATCTTTCGTGCCGCATCACCGATCATGCAACCTTACGGTCATCATCAGCCACTGTCTCCAGGAAAGCGGCAGCTTTTGCATCTGCCAACCCCTGCAAGGAAAGCTTGCCCTTCTGTAAGGCTGCCTTCTTCTCCTCGAAGACAGGAAAGCACATCATCCAGAAATCGTCCTCACAAGATTGGTTTGGGCTTATAATGTTTGCGGGAACATATTTCCAAACCTCACCGACAACCCAGGACACCATATGCCTTTCTTGTAAAACGAACATACTGGCAACAAATGAGTGTTCCTTCCTGACCTACACCATACATATATAAATATCAAATCTTACATGACTCAGGCTGGTTGTTTATGCAGCTGGTGCTATCAAAGGCACCACTCTCCCAATCTGTCGCAACAGCAACAGCAGAAGGAGCAATAATGCATACAAAAAGCATTTCAGTAGTTTTGGCAAGCAGCAGCCGACAATAGTAGTCCCGGAATTTCCTTTCAAGTAGTCGTAGTATTAGTAGTAGTAGTAGTAGTAGTAGTAGTAGTAGTAGTTGTTGTTGTAGTTGTTGTTGTAGTTGCAGTAGTCGCGGTCGTATTATTCTGGGTATTATTATTATTGGTAGCAGCAGCAACAGTAGTAGTAGCAGTACTATTATAGTCGTAAAAGTCGTTGCATAACTTATACTACAGTAGTCATGGAACTATTATTACTATTGAAAGTGGTTGCGCTAGTGCTATTGCTCATGCTTGTGCTAGTGGTCGTGGTAGTGGTCCAGTGATATAGTGGTTTAGTGGTATAGTGGTATGGTGGCATAGTGGTATAGTTCTGTGGTATTAGTGGTAATGATGGTGGTGGTACTGGTACTAATATGAGCACTGGCAGTAGCAGCCTCTTAGCAGCAGTAGTGGCCCTAGTGGTGGCAGTAGTAGTATACTGGTATTATAATAGTACTAGACGTAGCATGTTGAGGTTGTCGTCCGTTGTTGAAGGGGTGAAAGCCGAATCCATATCGTGCTCTGGATAGCTGGATTCTTGAACTAAAGCATAGGCTGCTATAGTGCACATACTCATCGAGACAGGCGGCCATAGCAAAATATTTATACATAATAACAAAGAACTAGTGGGATAGTACAGCCATTAAACCGACCAAGCCTTTGTCAATCTGCTGTTTCAACCAGATAATGAGTTGTGGTGGAAGTGATGCTGGGCGGGATGGTGGTGACTGTACTTCTTATCCCATGTCGGTCTTGATGCCATCATCAGTAGTTTAGATGAGAAATTCAGATATGCACTGCCCCACCCTTGATGCGAAATATGAACTCTCCATGTTGGATTGTCTGCAATTCCTCTCAATTTTGGTTGCAGGACCTGGCTATGTTTACACCCTGTTCATGTACATGAAAACCTTGCGCTATAAGATTATGTGTACATATACATATATATATATATATAACACATATACACATAAGTATCCAAGCACATACCACTTTAGAGCTACGGGATATATGCTATGAATGTAAGTAAGTAAGTATGTATGTATGTATGTGTGTGCATGTATTTATGTTTTACGATATCAGATTTCTGAACAAATGTTTCGATCTCAAGATTTTTTGCCCGATTGTCATGTACGGAGTCCTGCAGCTTCCCAGGGAACTTGAGCTGCGGGGCGACGTAGTGGTTGTAAGCATCTCGCACAGCTTTCCATCGTGCGAATGCTTGCTCTGTTTTGGGAACAGGTCGCCTTGCAAACGATTTCTCATCTTCTGTTTTCCTTTGTCTCTTTCTTTTGGGTGGGGGGTTGTTTGTCGCCGACGGTGAAGGCCCATCGCCGCCTGCCCCTGCACTCACAGCCGCTGGCTTTCGCATGTTTGGACCCATGCTTGGCTTCTTGTGGAGGGCTTTCTTTTTCTTCAAAGAACGTCTCAACTCGTACTGCTCATCCGGGGTCAACTTTGGCTTCTCCTACAGGGGTCAAATCGAATTCGAGGCTTCAGGCTAGTGTCGGAAAACTCAACAGATATGGTATGCACTGCAAGATGACCGATGCTTAACTGGCATGTATTAGGAACCCAATCCTTCCGCGAGCTGGGTTCATCATCTGAAAACTTTTTCGCTGATGATTTCCCAGACTTTAGACTCGATTTGCGGCGCAAGCGGTTCTTTGGGGTGCTACGGGTGGAAGGCGGTGTGGCTGGATCGGTATAGTTCATAACAGCGTTGTCCAAGTCATAGGGCATGGTGTCTTGCTCCTGCCACAGTCGATTGACAGCAGCACTGGAATCATCCTACCAAACTACAGGTTTGGATATATTGCTCGATCCTACCGAACAAACGATTCTGACAGGGCACATGAATGTTAGTTGTCTGGGCTTTGCCGCCTGTTTTCACAGGGCTGTCGTCAACCGCCAACACCACCGCTGGCAAAGAAACAGGACCTGATCCACATAGTATTAGATGTACACTTATTTACCAAGTATATTCATACGGTTACAACCCTGAAAAAACGGTATACTTAATGGTGGTGCATCAGAAGCGCCCACATCTGGGATTGTAGCGGAAGCGGGCCTCAATATGTCCAGCTATATAGATGTCACAGGCCGTTTATAACCGCAGCTATGGATGCACAGAATTTCACAATCCAGCCACGAACAAATCAAAGAAACTACTGCAAATTGTATTCAATTTATCCTGGCAGCACTCCGAGTTCTGCTTCCAATCTCTGTATCTCGGCGCTTGCCCAGTCCAGCTCGACCCTAGCCTCTGATCGTCCTGACCCTGATGCAAGTGGGTTCGGTTTGATTTCAGGGAATTCAAACTCTGGCTCGGTTTCCTTGACCTTCCTTTTCGGGTTTGGCTTTGGGGGCGGGGGCATTGCAATGAGAGGTTTGGTTCTCGTCTTGTCTGCGGGGGCAGCCTTGGCAGCGGCTGGCCTTTTCAAGCTCTGTCGCAGGGGGGGATCAGGGTCCACCTCCTTGTCATCCGTAAAGGATTCCTTTTCCTCCTCACCATTCTCATGGCCTTCCCCATCCGCTTCAAGTTCCTCATCCTCCTCCTTTTCCTTGCTTTGCCGATTCTTCGCCGTTGGCCTTGTGTTGTCATTATCCTCTTCCTCCTCGTCATCGTCCCGCTCTCCATCCTCCTCTTCCTCTTCCTCTTCTCCCTCATTGTCTTCATCATCCTCAGCCTCGCTGTCTTCCCCCTGGTTCAGCTCGGGAAGTGCAACCCCACGTTTCAGCCGTCGAATGATTCTGAAGAGCTCCTGGACAGTCTTGTCCTCAGCCATAATGAAAACTGTCAGAAAATGTTTCATGCCAGCTGCTGGTTATAAACGGCCGGATTGACATATGTATCTATATATACTCTTTGCAACGTAAGTAGCTGTATGTGTGTACTAAATATGATATGGCATCAAAAATAACTGTTCGAATAACTTATTTGTCTATATATATATATATATATATATATATATCATTTCGATATATACATATATATATATATATGTATATATATACACAATAGTAACTATGTTGCTACAAATCTATGTCGATATCGTCTGGAGGGAAGACACTATAGCTTCCTTAATTGATGTTAAGACTCCCGGGGTTTCTGCCCTCTGCGCGTCGCATCTTGGCAGCGGCGCAGAGCAAAGTAGTAAAGCTTCTTAAGATCTCCCCCATCATCATCGACCTCGTCTGGCTTCTCCGGCACATAGCCGACTGTCTGGAACAACTCCTTCACCTGCAGGATACGGATGCTCTCAGATTTTGATTCAACCCCTCAGTTTGTTTGAAGAGGTTCTGCAGTATATGTGTAGTTGAAATTAACAGCAATGGCCTCGTTTCGGAGTGTTGTCACATTGAACTTTCGCAGACCGTGCACCAGGAAGATCGCTGAAAGGGTCTCTGCATTGTACTTCAAGGACTGCGTGCTGCGAATCACTTTCTCACCATTGTCACCATGATCCCATTTGAGCCACCCCTGCTGCTTTCTGAAGCGGGTGCGCACCCGCGAAATGTTCTCCCATTGCTTAGCAAAACCTGGGAGCTTGCCTTTTTTTTTCTTACTCTTGGCCATTGCTTCGCCCAGAAGGGCGATTGAGCCAATTAAAGATCTCGGAACAGAGGCGTCTCGATCAGCCGATAACTAGTAACCTGTTTGTGAACATTACTCGCAAGCTCGCAAGCACTGCAAGTTCGTTCAGGGCTGGGCCACCAGCGCTTGAGAACAGGCTTCGGGCGTCCACTGCCTTCCACATGAAAGATCATGCTGAGGTTACAGAAACAAAAGTTCTCACGATGCAAGTTCCAACGGTGCTTCACAGATTCAAGCCTTTACTTCGAGCCACGGCAAAGTGCCGACATGGCAAGCGTGCAACCATACCAGGCTGAATGCCTGAATTTCTCAAACTAATTAGCGAACCCCGACTGATTGCTACGAACATCATCAAAAAGGTGAGATCGATCTTTAGAACCTTATATAGGGCTCGATAGGGTTCAAGTAATGGGGATTCCATATTAGCACAAACCTCTAACAGGTGATCCGATTCATTTCTTGCCCATGCGGGATTCCCAGCTTGGGCCGACACGGGCGTTCCCCACCCAAAACTTGATCAACCTCTAGCAGACCGTCGACACTGCCTTGCACGAAGGCGTCGGTACCGGGTTTGTTGGGGACTTAAAGACTACTATTTCTGCAAGTTGCTACATTTAGGGCAAAGGCGCCAGGTTTTATAAAAGGCTCAATAATACATAGCAACTTCAGTAAAGGCGCAGGTTTCTCCAAGAATGCCTCATATTTACAGCAACTATGGTTTTCAAGGTATCCAGGGTTCGTGTCCGTTGTCGGGGTGCGTTCCGACGATGTACATCTCTGTCACGATCTGGCGGTAATGGTTTTGCAGAATCCATCTGTAGACGTTGAGCTGTAGGTGATAGTGGGAGAGGGTGCTGTCCGCCAAGTGGTCGAGAGGTGGCTTCATGAAGCGGCCGAAGTGCTCTCCGCGGCTTGCTATTTTGCTGCTTCGTTTCCAGTCCACGAGCTCCAGGCTACCGTTCGCTCTCTGTAAGACACAATCGATGCTGCCGGCCACGTCGATGTCGTCGGCGTAGATCTTCCACTCTGTCCTGTAGATCGTGGCATGATGCAGTCTTTCGAGGAACTTGCATAGCAGGCTTATCTCTGGTGTCATGGCCGGAACAGTTCCTCCGTTCAGGAGGCACTCGAACTGGGCGTGCATCCATGTCCCTTCGTGCGACGCCTCGTCTCGGGCGGTCTCCCACTTTCTTTTCACGTCGCTGCTCGACATTGCGAGGCCTCGGAGCGTCGCTGCTTCCGTGGGGTTCGCTTGCTGCAGCGCCATGCGTAGATGCTGGTTCAGCTCTTCATCGTTGGCTTTCTTTTGTTGGAGCATGGCCAGGATGCGGGGGCCTGCGCGCAGCTGGTTGATCTTGTGTTCCATGTCCGGTGAGATGTCGGTTTTGAGATACCCGGCCCGCGGCCAGTGCCTTCCTTCTGACATGTTTTTCAGCGTCTGGTCCGGATCGAACTTGTCCGCATACTTGTGGATCATCTGCGTTACCGATATCATCACTCGTTTGTTTTGCCAGAAGTAGGTGTGCGTGGAGTTGTCGAAGCGTAGGTGTACGTCTCGTTCGTGGGGGTGGATGTGCTGTAGCCTGTCACTGACCAAGTTCTCTGGCAGGTTGGTGGGTAGGGGTCCATGTGGGCGCACTGGAAAGTTCGTCGGTGCTTGGGGGCTTCTGGCCAAGTTGAGCGGCAGTAGGTAGTCCAGGCCTTCGGTAAAGAGGCTTACTTCGTGCTCTTCGTCGTTTAGTTCTGCGAACGTCTCTTCTTTGTCTGCCTGCGATGAGTCGCCGCGCGGAACCACCGCAACACCTTCGTCCATGGCGTGGCGCGATGGCTGCTATTTGCCGTGATCGTGGCTGAGCCGACAGAGCATGCTACTTTGGATGTGGTTGTTTCAGGGCTTGATTGCCGCGATATGTCGAAGGCTTCCTGTGGTGATTGGTTTGTCTTTGTTTTTTTTTTTTTGACCGGTGGCTGCTCTGGCGCTGCGAGCCTTGGGATTTTGGACATCGGGTTGCTGCGCGGAGACCATGCTGTCCTTCCTTGTTTTGCTTGTTGATGCCCGACGCCTTTTTTTTACCGTCGCACTTTCTGTCTGTCGTGGTCTGACTGTCCTGTCGCAGATGGAGGCTTCGTCGTCAAACTCTGTGGATGTGAGTGCCGGGTTTTTGCGCAGAGGAGCCGTTGTGTTCGTAGCTCAGCAGGACGGGGATGTAGCACGGGATGCTGTAGGTCGGGGCGTGTTGAGGCTGCGGGCCTCGTGGATGTGAGAAGCTTTCCGCGAGAACCTCCTGCGGCTGTGGTCGTTCCGCCTTTTCGTTGGGTCTTGGCTCTGGAGAGTGTATAGCAGGGCGCCATGTGTAGACGAGCTCGAACCACGTTCGGCATGGGAAGCGGTGGTAGCGGCAGCGCTCCTTCAGGCTGTCCTGCCACCATGCGAGCTGTTCTTGTTCCAGCTCGCGGTACATGACTGCTCTGACGAATTGGCGTACTTCTTCCTGAAGAGTGTAGTCGCAACCAAGTTCCTGCGGCTCACCTGTCGTGCGACTGTGGTTACTGTGCAGGGGCCTCTAGAGGCGGGGCCGTCGACATTGGGACGCTGAGGTTCCGACTCCATGTTGGCTCGACGTGGGTGTCCGGGCGGGGTTTCGGCGCTGTTGGGCTCTGGCATCTATCCACGAAGGCCGTGGTCGCGTTCCTCAGGTGTAAGGGCACAGCCAGACGGCTGATCTCGATGGCGTGGTTCCATCTGGGGGCCTGGCTGTTGCGTGGTCCTCCGTCTGCGGTCGCGTCGAGTTTTCTGGTCTGCCGTCTGGACGTCTGGCATCGAGGCTTGCGTGCTGTGGTCGTTGTGCGGCTCCTGTCGGATGAGTGTCAGCTGCCCTGTTGGTCGCGGTTCGTTCTGGTTTCTTGCGCGGCTTGGGTCTGTGAGCTTCCTTGCCGTCGCGTGTCGAGCCAGCTGACGTGCTCTCTTCCTGGCGAGCGAGGCTTCTTCTTGGGGGGGCTCTCTGGTGGCGTGGCCTGTGCAGCCGGCACAGCGGCGGTGCGGGCCTTTGTGGAGCAGTCGCTGTCCTGATCGAGCACAGGGCTGCCACACGACTCTGGCGCTTTGTCGTTCCCCTTTCTTGTCCTGAATGTCTGCCCACGGCGTCCGTCGTGGCATTCTCCGTGTCCTGGACTCCTTGCTGGCCATCTTCGCGCTGGACTGCCTTCTCTGCGGTGCTTGGAGGCGAGGGCTCTTGAACCAAAATAGCTGCAGTGGCGATCGGCTGGGGTGGCAGTTTCTGCAATACCCTTCTAGCATGCTTTGCGGTCTGAGCTGCAGCGCTCCCTTTTCTTTGTGCAGAGGCTCATCGCTTTAGGTCTCGGCGCGTGTTCGGGGCGCCGTTCCCAGTGGGTGTTCGCCACTTTTGCTGCAGCTGGACGTCTGGTACGCGGAGCTCGGATTTTCCTGGTCGGGCTTCGTCTACATTGGCGGGAGGGCGGATTTGCGAGGCCGGCGTCTTTTTGTTGATGCTCCTTGTCGCTCCGTGCTTGGCCGCGTGGCGTCTCCGCCGTCTTTTCCCCGCCGATCTTCTTCTTCTGTGTTCTTGCACCCGGGGCTCTCGTCGATTTCCGAGGTTTCGTCATCCTCGCGAGCATCTTGTAAAGCCCGCATTTCTTGTGCGCGCTTTGAAGCTCTGCGGTGGGGGAGCTTTTCGTCCGGTCCAGTCCTGAAGTTCTCCCAGAGCACCGTTGCGGGCTTCTGGTAGTAGTCGATTGGATGCGCTAGTTGGACGAGGTTCGTCAGCACCAAGCCGTACAGCGAGTCGCCTTGTTTCATTCTGCCCATGTGGCGGTGTTGTGCTCTGGTTTCTTCGTAGATCTCCTGCGACATCTGCCTGCAGTCTGAAATTTCTGCGTGGGCATAGACGCGACCTTCGAATCCAATCCAGATTGGTCCTGTTTTTGCTGGCTGGCTGCGCAGCTCCATGGTTTTTGTGCCGCTCAGTATCAGCGCGACCCAGCCTTCTTTCAGCACCATGATCCGGTTTCCCAGTGTCGGCATTTTCTGCGACATGTCCTTCATCCCGTCGGCATCTGCTTGTGCCGCGCCGTCTTCCTGCGGCATCACCTCGCATGCAGGCATTTGTCGATGCCGGATTCGGAGCTTTGGGCAAGTTGTTTGTTGGTCACTCCTTCCGTCTTGTGCTGATCGAGGTGCTTGACGTGAAGGCTTGGTTGGCGCGGCAGGATCTTCGTCGGGTTGTTGTTGGTCTGTCTGCGTGGCCTTGGTCGCCGTGTGATTCTTGTGTCTTGGGGGGGGGGGGGGGATTGCAGTCGAGCGTCGCTTCAGCTGGACACTCGGCCTGTTTCCCTTGCTGAGGCACTGGTCTGGGGCGCTGACCGCCGTCATCATTTGCGTGGCTTGGCAGCTCAGTACCGCTCCTTGTGTTTCGACTGGCGAGCTTTCTGCTTTTTCTGCGCTCACCGCGTCGGCGGGCGCAGGTCTTTCTTCCTGAGATGCGCTGAGCTTGCGTCACTGGTGCTACGGGTGGTTGGAGCAACTATCTGCGATTTCTTCGGTTGCGCTGTGGAGTGTGTGCGTGTCCGAGGCACCGATGTCGTAGAAGCCATGCTGCCCCTTCTCTAGCTTGTTCTGGTGGAGATTCGGCTTGAGTGTTTTTTTTATGGCTGCGGCCGATCGTCGGATCGAGATCTGGAAGGGCTCTGCGAAACTCCGACTTACCCTCGCTCGTGAACTTTTTGTTTTCCTGTTGCGTTGGAGTGCTGAGATCGGGTGCGGTGGTCTGCACGTCTCCTTGCCCGTTCTCAAGCCTTCCAGGATCCGATGCCGTCCCACGCTTTCTCGATCCGGTTGACGAAGCCGAAGGCCGATAGTGGAGGGTTGGCGACGAAGTCCTCGCCGCACATCGCGTAGTGGAGCACATAGTAGTTGAACTGCATGCATTCTCTTCCTCCTCGTTGGTAGAGGCATATGCCGGCTGCACGCTGTGCGTCGACGCTGGCTGCGAATGCAGTCGTGCCGGATCGCCAGAGGTCGGCGAAGGAACGGTAGTGAAACCAGCCGAGGCTTTCGTACGTCCATCCATTGCATTCTAGTATCCCTGCGAGGGTCCGCGGTTTGGGTTCTCCGCGGACTGCGCTGCTTGCCGCGTCTAGCAGCCATTGCTGCACGAGCCTCTTCGCGGGGCATGGGTTCTCGTGCAGGAAGACTCGAAGCTCTTGTCGTTCCGCTTGCACTAGGCGGCGGAGACGTTTGTCTTTGGGCTTCGGTGGCGTTCGGAATGCAAAAGTGCCCCGAGTGATGCTCTGACGCGGCGACTGCGGTGCTGGTGGCTTGCGGAACACCGCTGCTTGTATCTCCTCGCCCTCGCTGCTGCTCTCTTGGATATGGTGCCAGGGCGCGTGGCAGTCGAGGTCGGACATGCCTGCTTGGCCTGTCTTCTCGTTTTCTCTGGGTGGGTTTCGAGCTTGAGCCGCAAGGTCGTCTGGCTGCGACGAAGGTTTGTGGCATCTGATACTGTCTGTGCTCTGGCTCCACGGGGTGGGTGCTGCGAACTGACATCCCCGGCTTGCTCCCTTTTTCTGCTTTGCGAGCAGGTTGCCTTCGGCTTCATAGCGGGGCAGTGTAAATTCTTGCTCCTTCGAGGCTTATGCCTGCTGTTAGATGGACTCTGTACTAGGCACGGCATTCGCTCGGGCAGCCCTTCGGCTTGTGTTTGCGAAGTGCCCTCGCGGCGCTGCCTACCAGATTTTTTCGCTCAGGTGTACGGACGGTTGCTGTTGCAACCAGTCGATCAGGGGATCCGTCTTGACGCCTGTGTTGTCGATCAGGTAGATGGGGATGTGCAGCAGGACTTGTTCGAGGATGTTCTGGAGTCGGCGCTTGTGGCCTTCGGAGAACTTGAGCTTCAAATGCCGAACGTATTGGGTTTTTGCGCTGTCCGGGAACGAGATGGTGCCGCCCTGGATGTTAGCGGCGTCGAAGAGCTCCCGGAGTACCCAGATGCCGCCGAAGATCATGAGATTGTACTGTTGGCCGGCTTGTGGTGCGTCGGGTACCTTCTGGCTCGTTTCCTCGTTGACGACTGGCCTGGTCGTCGTTTCATCGGCAGCTCCTTCCAGTTCTACTTGTAACAGCACATGTCGGCGGCCTCGCGGCGGGAGCGCTTGGAATGGCAGGTGTTTCAGCGGGTGCTCGTCGTGGACGATCCAGGGTGCGGGTACGCTTGCGGAGTCTTTGCATGGGAACAAGGCGATGAAGTGCGGGAGTTCCAGAAGTTGCCCGGTGGTCACCTTGTGCCGGGTGATGAAGTGGACCAGGTTCAGCGCGTCCTCTGGCGTGGGGGCGTACAGCACGGGTTGCCAGTTTTGTATGCCCACGTCGTCGGGATCCGATGGCCCGGTTATGGGAGGGGCCCCGCCCAGGATTCTGATGTGCATCTTGGCCTCCAGCTGCGCTAGGGTGCGAATGTCGGTGTCGGGGTGTTTCTGCAAGGCTTCTCTGCACGTGGCCAGCAAGTCGTAGCCAAAAGCTTGCCGCCCTTTTTGCGCGATCTGGATTTGCCAGAACGGTTCCCCGCAGGAGCCGTCCTCGAAGACACCGAAGGTGCTTCCCCAGCGTCGGATGGTGGCAACGAGCTCCGAGCCGTCTTCGCGCCCGGCTGCGTCGCCGGTGGTGGCACGTGATCTCAGTCTGATTCCACCGGTGCTGCAGCGCTGTTTCTTCGTGGAGGGGACGCAGGTGTGAGCTCTGCTGCCTGCCATGCCGCTCTTCTGTGTGGCTGCTTCTAGGCTGCGAGGGCTCTCGAGAGTATCCAAGGCTTGAGCCTGTCGGCCGGCGAGAGCAGGGGCTGGTATCGCTCGAAGCCGTTTGTTTTTTACGAGCTAGCCGGCTTTCCGAGGATGTGTCGGCGGTGACGGCGGCGTGGTTTCATGCAAAGGAGCAAGCACTCTCGGATTAATTTTGCTGTTCTTGAGCTGCCATCGCGACTGACGGTGGCGTCTCCGAGTGTGTAGCTCGGCTTGGAGCACAAAGCTTGAAACAGAATGTACCGGCTCACCGGCATCTGGTCTGGGGAGCTTCTTGAGAGCTTGCCTATGTGCGTGGCTTTTAGCCTTGCGCTCTGAGCAGTACGATGCGACGTCCCGCTTGTTTGGTCTCGTTCTGCATCAGGTGAAGTCTCGTCAGCAGTCGGTCCCATGCTGCTTTCTGGAGACCGTCGCGGGCTGCTTCGTGCCTTGGTGGTGGACATATCGTTATGGGACCGACGTGCAGCTGTGTCTGTGGGTGTTAGTTTTACCGTGTGCATGCTGCGTGATCTGTGGGTTTTTCTCTGAGTCGCGGGCTGTTGCGTGAGGAACCAGCACGCGTCCTGCCAGAGGTGCTGCTGTCGTGGGTGTCCCGGCTCCGACCGCGCCGATAAGGTCTCGGTTTGCATCTTGCGGAGTCGCGTCGGAAGTTCGTCCCATGCCGCTTTCTGGCGACCGCCGCCAGCTGTTGCGCACCTTGGCGGTGGACAGAGCGTGACGTGAGTGTTTCGCAAGTCCGCCCGTGAGGTCAATTGTGTCGTTCTATGCTGCGCACATTGACTGTTTCCGCCTGAGCTCTGTGCTGCTTGCTGAGGAACCAGCATGCATCTTGCCAGAGTCGCTGCTGTCGAGAGTACCCGGACTCCGAGGACGTGAGCAGTGCTAGCAGGAAGGGACGGAGCGTCTTCGCGTCGGTGTACTCTTGCTCGTCTTTCCAGTGCTGCTTGATGACGTGCTTCATCTTTTCATTGGTATTCTGCTGCCCTCGAGGCCACGGGTGTTTGTCCCGGCGCTCTCGTCGTCGCCTCGTTCGTCGCCATGGCTGCCGCCGCGGGGCGGGGGCTGTTTGCCGGTAGGCCTTCATGCGGTCTACGCGTGTTTGGCTTGACGTGGCTGCGGGACATGCTGTGCCTCGCGGCGGCGGGCAGTCGGACTTGCATGCTGCTAGTCTGCCGGTTCTGTCAGCGCTGGCTGCCGATGGCATTGCCCGGGCTTTTACGGACTGTGTGCATATCTTTTCTCGGGTGAAACCGGGCTGCCTATACCGATGAGATGCTTGGCCGCGGTTCCTGCTGCAGAGCTGTGGCAGGACGACTTTGGTGTTGATCTCTTTTTTTTGTGTGTCTTTAGGTCGGGCTGAAGGGTTTGGGTCGCTGCTCTTCTGGACAGGTTGGTTGTTTTTTTTTTCGTGGCTGTGGCTTTGGTCTTCGTCTAGCTGGTCTGCTTAAGTTACAGTCTTTGGGTTGTCCTGGGTCTCCTCGTCGTCTTGGCAGCGACTTCGTGAGGGAGCTGGCTCGCGCCGTTGATCGCGATGATGGATTTTGTGCTCCGGCATGATTGTGCGCTGCTCTGTCAAGAACTTGCAGTGGATGTGCTTGGTGTACCGTCGTCCCTGGCAACAGCAGTGTCTCGGAGTGCATCCTCTGTCGCTGAGCTGTAGTCTATTTTTGATCTGCGAGGGCAGCTGCTCCAGGAGTCCGTCCACGTCGATGTGGTTGAACTCCAACCTCAGCCAGGAGCAACTGCCGGCGGTTTCGGCTCCGGCGGCGCTCACCTTCGTGCAGCCGAGCAGAAGGAGCAAGGCCTTCGTCTCCGTCGTGGACAGTCGGTTGTGGCTCAGGTGCAGCTCCTTTAGGGTCTCCCAGTGCTGCTCGATGAAGGGCGTGAGCGGTTCCAGGCTTCGGATGTTGTTGTGGTGCAGGTACACCGCCTGCACGTCCCCGCCGATGGCCTGCAGGATCTCAGCTGCGTCGTGCTCGTCCAGACTGTTGTTCTCCAGGTGCACTCTCAGTGGAGTTCGCGGCGGCCGCCATTGCCGCAGTGCTTGACTCCAGCGGCCGATGTCCTGTTTGGTCCGCATGACATTGGCGAGGTAGATTAGGCCGCTTGGGTGCAGGCGCTCGGCGTCCGACGGTGTCAGGAGGTCCATGGCTGTTCAGGTTGGAGCCAAAGAGTGCACAGCGTTGTGTTTGCTGCTTCGCTTGAGCCGGTCAGTGCTGCGCGAGTGGCAGTGGCGTCTGTGGGGTCTTTTCGCGGTAATGGCAGTCCATGCTGTTGTGACGCTGCGTTTTGTTCCCGGACTCGTTCTTTTTTTTTGTCCGAAACAGGCGCGGTGTTAAAATCGGTTGCGGCCCGCAATCGCGCAGGCTCCGCACTCGCAGCGAGCTTCGCCTGTCATCCTTCGACCTGAGAGCGGGTGTCGCTGCGTGCGTCTCTGTCGGATAGCCTTGAGGCCCGCACATCCGGGAAGTGCCGCTGTGGATGTCCCGGAGTCGCTGTCACTGTCGCGGGAATCCTTCGACGGCAGCCAGTTTGCTGCTGGCGCTGCTTGCTCCGTTCTCGTCCTCTTCGGGAGCGCTTTCGCTGGCCTTTCGCAGTGCTAGCTTGCGTGCTTTTGCTGGCGTGGCTCTTTGCTCCCTTTTCCGCCTCGGCGTGGTCGCAGGATTGTGTCCACACTGTGTCCTGGGGTTCGTCGATCGGTGCTAGTGTCCAGTGGCGCGAAACGGTAGTGTCCTGGAGGTGCGCCTGAAGCTCTTCGTCCGCGCGACGTGCCTCGGCCGTTTTGTTCGGGGGAGTGTTGTTCGTGTAGACATCCCGGCCTCTGCTTCATCTCTCGTGGGACCCACGAAGCGAAAGGAGTGGAGGAGGTCTGGTTCCTTGGCGCGAGCTCGTGTCGTCTCTTGGCTTGCTTGCTGCTGTTGGAGCGTGCCTCTGCTGTGACCGTGTAGTTATGCTCCTTGGCTCGAATGGCTTTTTGCAGGTCTTGGCTGCATGCACTCTGGCCTCCGGATCGAGCCAGTCCGCCGTGGCCCACATGTACTCTTCGGCTAGCATATAGGATACCTGTGCGGGATGGGTTACCGCAGCGTTTCTGACGTGGCATTGGTTCAGCTTGCCTCGTGAGCGTCGTGCCAGATGATGAACGGCATCTTTTAAACAAAAAAGTCTCTGATGTGTGAGTGTTGTATCATTGGCTTGATTTGTTTCTGTTCCGGCATGGCACCTAGGCTGGGTGTGTTGGTGCGAGAATCTTTTTGTGCGTGAAGACATGAGCTGATGAGCCGCACTGGGCTGCCGGGCGCATGTTTCGTTGCTAGCGTCGTTTTAGTGTTGTCGTCGCGATTTAGTACTACTACTACTGCTACTGCTCCTATTGCTACTTCTACCGGGATCTGGTTGGCTGCTCTGGAAACTTGCACGGCAGCGTCTGTGTTCGATTTTCCTCTTTTTTTTGTCAGGCAAGGAGGCTGGTGAGCAGTGCACGATTCGTCGGCGAGTACCCAGGTGCTTTGGGCTTCGCTCCTTATCGGATGCGGCGAAGGCGTGAACTGGCGCGCTCTCGTGCAGCCTGTCGCCGGCATTTCCAAGCTAGTCTGAGATGCTTTTGGAGCTTC